TAACCTTAGCTTTAAGTCTATCATCAGCGACCGGAGAAGAGATCTTATCAATATATTCGTTCTACTTTACTTCTATCTTTACGAGCCTTCTTGACTATCTCCGAGACAGAAGATTACAGGACCTAGTGTATACTCGCTAGACTTTGGAGTTACCTACCCCCTAACAAAGAGCTCCAAGTTCCAGAGCCCAAAATCGCACTTCTGCCCAGAAGGCTAGGGGGTTGCTTGAATGGGTCCAAGCTGGATTGGTAGAGGAGAAGGGCGTAGTTTGGTGAATAAAGTTTGCTAACTGAAGGCAGGCATGACCAGGACGTAGATGTGAATTTTCGTAATTCTAAAGTTGCTGGATTAAGGTGGCCCACTCACTCTCAGTTGGAAGTGGTCGAGTATAACTGGGATTTAAGAAGTCGGCAAGTAAATGGAGAGGAACTGACTGAATAGCTTCACACTGGGAGCAAAAGTACTCAAGATCGAAGCTGGGATTTGTCGACAGAGTACTTGATGTAGTGAAAATGCGTTGCAAATCTGCAGTAAGGGTTCGCCAGCAAGCTCGAACTTGTCCAATATGGGCGGAGTCTTTTTCCGATTGCTGCTGGGGCTTGCTAATGCAAGTGAGAAAGGGTCTAAACTCATCTAGCCTTATCCAGAATGAATTATCCAGTAAAATATTCCTTATTGACACATTTACTATGTCACGAACTCGTTCATCCTGAATAAATGCTCTCAAAGCCTCCTTGCTTTTATAAACAGAGGAAATCAAGCGTTCCTGTGTTCCCCACCAGGTGGTGACTGCAAGGCAAAAGGTATAATGTCGTCCATATAACTCAGTTTGATGCTCACGGAGGATTGCCAGTTGAAGTTTGGACTTCTTAAAATGGGCCGCAATTTTTTGAGCATTGGAAATGATGTCAAGGAAAGGCTCGTACTCAAGAATATCCTTTATCAATAGTTGCAAGCTATGGGACTCACAAGGTATTGTGAAGATGTGCCGTGTCTTAGGATCGTGGTTAAAGAGTTGCCATACTGCTCGCATTGTTGAACATGTATCGGTAATAATGGAGTTAACACGCCACCAACCTGCTGGCCCCACTAATTCCTCTATCTTTTCTGAAGCCCATAAATGAACAGAGGCTGCACTCTTACGTACAGATCCTGAATAATCTGTAGTATAATAAAAGGTACCCTGCTGAGTAACAATCGAAATATTCTGAACTCGATGGCCTCCAATATCTTTACTAGCATCAAAAACTATATTTAAATAGTCCTGAAACTGTAGAATAGCCTCCACTTTGTTTTTCGTATTCAGAAAGTACTCTGCAAGTAGGTTGGTAGCTAAGGCCTCATGTCCCGGAGGCTTATATCAAATGGCGGATTGTTGCAAGAGCGCAGTTTGGTAGTTGTGCATATATCGATTTTCTAAAAGGGAGAATGGCTGTCCACTCATGTATACTGTAAGTACAGCCTTGAGATCGAGCTGGTGCTTTTCCTCACTCGATAGATGCCGGATATCAGAAGCAGAAATTCACTGATGTTCTGAAACACTCTGTAGAATAGCATTTAGTACTATTAATACATCAATTTTTATATACAGGAGGGCTCCTAGGACTATAATATAACTTACTGGAATCTGTTCTTCGCCAGACTGCAGAACAGGAAGCCCAAGAGCACAACGCTTTGCACGTAAATGAGCTTGATAGTTTTGACATAACCGTAAATGAGTCATCTGACGTGTCGCATTATGGGCCTGCTGCTAGGGGCAATGCTTGCAGCGAACTGTATCGGTCTAGACTTTTATTAATAAACTCTAATTCATGTACTCACATGGCCAGATTAAAGCCGGACACCTAAGGTGACAACTCCTATACAAAGTGTCCGGCTTCAATCCAGCCGCGCGAGTACTAGTATATTAATTACTAGACAAGTTGATAGTAAATTACCTTCGCAGTGGTACTTACTCTCCAACAATCAAACTCCTCTGATAAAATAGTATTTCGTACTGGTGGCATTTTGCTCCTCTTGCAGAATTTTGTATGGTGAATCTTTTCTTAAAGTATAGACTTGGACTCGGAAATACTTGCTGGATAGAAGCTGGATGGGGTGGAGCAATATAAAAATAAAGTAATATCTTGAGTAGAACATAAAACATAAAAACTGACCGTAGGTTCTACCTCCAATCCAAATCTTAGATCAGACCTGAAGTACTACTTTATATTTCCTGAATTTGTTAATACATTGGAATATCAAGTGACGTTAACACTACACTTTGGTAGTACCTCATATCATTTGTACATCATAATATAGCGCGAGGAGAAAATTTCCTATCTTTTTTTTTTTCCAAATTGTAGAGTCAACAAGGTTCTTATTATGACATACTTCAAGTTTCCAGTACTGAGGATGTTTGGATTCTAGCATAATTATTACACTTACCATCCCTCGGAAAAATTGCCATGTTACTTACCTATCAATATGTATTTGATACCAACAATTCCTCGGTTACCGTCACATACGCTCCCCTAGCTCCAACAATCTAGTGGTTTAATGATAACGATAAGATAGGGGTAATTTGAGCTTACCTTTCTAGCCAGAATCTAAGGATTTATGCTAACTATGATACTCGTAATGTATTAGCGCTTGAGCACGTACGGGTAAAGTTAATTGAGCAACGGAAGGAAGGAACTTCTTACAGTAATCGAGCGCTTGTATTCCCATCGTGTATTTGGAGCCAGATATTAGTAGTAGGGCACCAGTCCTAATATATCATTTCAATAAAGGTATGAAAATAGTTATCTACGTCAGGATTCAATACGAAATTTCTTGGTCACTTACTCAATTAGCCAGATCGAAGTCAACTGCCTTTTTTCTGGTGACCCTCCAAAAAAAAAAGGCGACTTCGATCCAGCAACATGAGTTTACTACAATGCCATGATATTGTGATTATATTTTAGTAACACCTCTACTACCCCCCCAAAACCCTTTATAGTTACCCAACCCCGAACGCACGATGGGAACATGGGTACATGCTTTACCGTAGCACCCTCTAACCCCAAAATGCTACCCCATCTACAAATACCCCTTGGGGGACTTGTTAGCCGAGCAAAGATATATTCTTACACCGATCCCAAAAACCTCACCGTTGGCACCCACCTGATTCTGAAGGAAAAGAAAGGCCTGAATCCGGGATTGAACCGGAGATCTCCTGCGGTTCCGGAATCCCAAAGCAGAAATCATACCACTTGACCAGTCGAAAACTTTTCAACTTAAGCATCCAGAACTAACGCTGACAAGGCACGAAATCTCAATTTTTTTTGACGAGTAACCGAGTGATATACTATGATGAGACCTTCTGCGTGCCCGAGCACGGTGCTGGTAGGTTTGCGCAATGTGATTAAGATACTGGTAATTCTGGAATTCGTTCCCCGAGCAAATCCCCTAATAAAAATAGGCCTACAGTAATTTTCCAGCTGTCGAGAGGGATGCTCAGCTTTCCCCCCCCCCTCCTCGGGATCTATGAGCGTCCTCGTTACCAGACCGCTTCTTAAGGTCCTGAGAACGATAGGATACCGAGAACCGGATACCGGAATCGCACAAAGCTTTTGTGAAAACTGCTGGCTCATCCGTGGGAGGTGGTGACTCTCGCTATCACGTCCGATTCCTATTTTCCTCGGCCCTATCAAGTGGTCCACAGTGGTGTGAGAATGCCAACGGGAAAGGAAAGCCGAAATAAAGTCTACAGGCGACAAAAAGCTATCATACTTGGATCCCTTTTCGTCTACGGAATGATAATGTATATCGCAAATTGCCTTGCTCAACTAAAATTTGCCTAGCGCAATGAATGTATACCTATAAAGGCTATTTATCGGGCGACACAGCTATTTTCCGTGCCAATTACGCGGTATCCATTTTATCGTCATCCTTACTTCCACTTCCACCTTCCCCGCTTTCCTTCTTCAATAACGGGGTATTCTCGTCCTCCTCCTTGATTCCCTCTAATGATCCCGAAGCCTCTCCACCCTCCTTCTTCCCCTCCCTGTCCTCCTTCTCCTTTTGTTCCTTCGCCAGCCGAGCCTTCTCGTCTTCCATAGACATCCGGAGTGCCAACGCCAGTTCGGGGTCCAAACTCGGATCGACTCCGAAGTCAAACCCTCCAGATCCTTCCCCTGTGCTAGCCCCCGCACCCTCTCCAGCACCCCCAGAAGAAGCACCTCCGGCTTCGCTCAAGATCGGGGTGGTGACCAGGAGGTCCGAAAGAAGATGTGGCCCGGGCGGAATAGTAGCCAAGTGGGAGTTATCAGACGAGTTGATGGCTTCGACAAAAGCTTGAAGCTTGGTAGTATTGTCGGTCTCGACCTCGCCGAAGTTAACGAAATCTATTGCGACATTATTTTTCTTCATCTTCTTTGCGAGCTTTACGAGAGTCTTTTCGTCTTCGACGACGGGAGAGCCGACAAATACAATGATCCGCTGGCGTTGAGACTTGTTCTGGCGGTGCTTCAGTGCTAACTGTGGAGTCATGAATAGTGTTGATTAGCCCGAGACTTGTGAAGTAACAAACTTGGAAGATTGGCGCGGGGGATGATCTATGACGTACACCCGCGACTTGGATCCCTGTTGCTAGATGAGTTCCACCTTTGATTTTTGTGTCGTGTAATCCGCTCAAGATCTTCCCAAAATCCGTGGTTAATGTAACCAATACCTCCGGTCCTTTACCACCCATGGCCATCAAGCCTACTGATGATTCTGGGTTGGCCTGAGTTTTTGCGGAGAAGATAAGGGAGACTGCATCCGCTTGAGCCTCAAAACGAGTTGGTCTTCGTTGATCAGATTCCCTAGTCAATTCTAAACTCCTAGGAGGAACAGGAGTCGAAAGCTTACGTATAATCTCCGTTCCGACTGCTCTCGCTGTTGTCAACTCTGTGAAAAAAAAGCTCCAGTCAGCAGCTAATAGGAAATTTATGAATCTTATAGGCCCACAAACACTATCATGGTTGCCTCCAACATGATTGCGGCGGCACTTATATGTGTAAAGCGCAAAAGCGGTTTCTAGGGATAGGATTACGAGACGGTGATGGCGGAGGTTGATAGGGATAATAGATCGATAGAAGTTGATTGTTAAGTGTGGTAGTGTACGTGGGCGTTGGGACTGTTGGCGGGGACTCTATCAGAGCTTTAGGACTGAGATGGATTGAATTACCCGGCTTTGTGGTGCGCCAAGCCTCTCCAGGTTGGGGTTTGACTTTCAACTTTCTTTGTTTACCAACACCCTCCCCCGGGTCTGCTCGGTTCACACATAACGAAAAGGGCAAACACGCAAAAACGCGCCGCTATACTCCACCTTCCCTCAACCAACACGATTAACCACCAAGACCTATTGCCACACTCTTTTTTTTCTCTTTTTTTTATTACGAATGGCACCCCTCCGACGGAAAAATCATAACTCTCAATCCCCTTCTAACGCCCCTGGATCACCAATACGAACGCCGACACAATTCTCACGATCACCGCTGAAATCAACTTCTGCAATGACACCAATGAAGTCACCTTTGCGCCAAGTGCGTCCTGCTGGAATTACGAAGAACCAGAAGGCTACTATTATCGAAAACTTGAACTTAGAGAGTATGTTTGGTCTATGGACTACGCAGTGGCTACAGCAAATGGACATCTAATGCTTCGCTATAGTAACCGAACGCGCCAGAAAGCTCCGGGCACAATACACCATGCAAGCTCGCTCATTAAAACAGAGGGTCGAAATGCGAATCAACAGAGTACCCAAAAAGCTCTGGGGGATGAAGATGGGGGATCTATTAGCCCAGCATTCGGACAAAAATAAGGAGCCAAAGGCAATATTGTCGAAACTAGGCCCTAGGGGGGTTAAGGGTTTCGTGGAAGATGTGAAGAGATTAAGGTCTGCCTATTTATGCGTTCAAGTCTGGTTCGGTACTTTTACTAAATTCTTGGCCACACAGCAATGAAGGAAATAGCCAGCTAAACGTTCAATCAGAGCGACTCGTTATTCCTAAAAAGAGAGTAGCCAAAAAGACCGTTGGTGCCTCAGCTCGAGAGAAGATGCCTCCACCTCCTCTTCCGGCACACCCCTCCAGCGGGTTTAGCCTCTCTCCAGGAAAACCGAGCCTACCACCCTCATCTTCCCCTGTTCGGTCATCATCCCCAGTGCGGCCCTTGCCTGCCAAGAAAACCGTTGGACGAACAACCCGCAAAGTTCCATCAAATGGTTCAATTGCTTCAGCGTCAACTCGACCATCATCTCGTGCTACAACGCGCTCCTCACTTGAGACAACTGCGACCAGTGCTGGCAGTAGCCAGGAGGCCTTAGGAACGAAAACTGCCAAAAACTCGCAGGTAAAGGGCAAAGCGGCGGCAACGATAGCGACAAATACAGCAAATACCGGGTTAAAGCGGGGCGGTGTTAAAGGAAACCCGAGTTCGGGGAGTTTGAAAGAAAATAAGGTGGCTGGTGTGAAGGAAAAACCTTCTTCCTCTAAAGTTACCAAGAAAGAAGCGGCAGCAACCACAGGTGGAAGAATATTGAGATCAAGGAAATAAGCTCACGGGAAATCTATGGAATTTGGAGTCAGGAAGCCAAGGATTAAGATTTCATTCAATTGCATTGGTCCCAGAGGATAGGCACCACTGCTCGGGCCACTGCAAAGAGTCAGATATTCCCAGCCATGTTATTGAATCTTGGCTGGCGTAGGACGCCTCCTCTTATATCTGCCCATTCCGTTTCTTGGGTCTGCTGGGTGCTTTCTCTTTTTGCTTTTGTCTATTTCATTCGGCTGGTTGGTGTACTTCCCCTTTGACCCGTGCAGTTGTACAGTAGACGATACATATGAAATGCCGGCGTAAGCGGGCCTCCGTATTCCGAAATTAAGCTTCAGCCGATAAATAGTATTATGATCACATGATACTGTTGGGGCATGGAGCTCCTGGACTCAATAAACTTGAGGCACGAACCAAACTACTCAGCAGTATATAATTCTAAGCCCTGCAAACAAATTCAAATGATAAGGTATGAGTAAACTCAGGCAGAAGCAGCAACATTGCGATGAGGTTCCGGCGTCACATCGGTGACGGCTTTTAGGAGATCTTCAATAACCCTAGGGCCCTTTTCTTTGGTCGCAGCCTCAATATCCCTCAAAGTTTGCTCGATCTCTTTAGTAGCTTCTTCCTCGGCTTTGGCGTTGACACCGGAATGCTGTAATGCAGTTAGCCTGTTTAAAAATCGCGCTGTAGAGAGGTGAATGAACCGACCTTCGCTTCGAACTCTTTGAATTCATTCTCTTTCTGCTTTTTGTATTCTTCGATCTCTTTTTGAGCTTCACTGCGGGCATCCTTAACTTTTTGTGTCCGATCTGTGATAGGTTTAGTGAGATGCTTTAATGGGTAAACAGAGGGGGGTAATGGAGGGGTTGCGTACAAGCTCTCGCTAGAGTGAGCATCACCATCAGAGTTAGCAGCCATCAACCTCTCCTGAATCAGAAATGGATAAAAAGACATCTGACGACGTTCGTTGTGGCAAACATGAGCTTCTACCTTTCTGAACTATCTTCTGCGCTTCCCTCTCAGCCTATCCAGTAAAACTGTCAGCATCACCATCACTGTCACCATCACCCCATTTCAATAATCCCACAAAGCTTGGCGGTACGCACATCGAGGAGGGTTAGAATCCCAGCAGAGTTTTGAACGGACTGTCAAAATAAAGTAAGTAAGCCTTTATAGCTTCTAGAAGGTAGAGAGCTAGCAGTAAGGAAAGATAAAGGTTACCATTGTCTTGATTTCGTATGACTCCGGGAAGGCGGGTTTTTCGATTGATCGATCTGAAGAGAGGGGGTTTTAAGTGGGTTGATTGGAACCGAACGAAGGAACCAACGATCTTAAGCATAAGGGTGCGGCAGAACCTGCTCTTCGCTCTCATCTCGTCCTTTTCAGGTGCCAAGCTTCACGCCCCTTGCAACCATCCCAGGGTCTCAAATCTCCTGGGTCTCTTCTCTTTCTAGCGTGATCAACAATCAACAGTTTACAGGGAGACCGGTTCATTTCCCTCGGACTCCCTATGAAAAGATAGAAGACTCGACTGTGAGTTCCTATCCATTGTATCTCCCCTACCAACCTGAACATCAAACGCGTAAAGAGCGTTTGACCTTGCCTCTCTTTGTCACTGCAAAAGTCATAATTTGTACTTTGGTTCCTGAGTGCCCATTTTTCCCCCTCTCTTCCTTGCAAGCTGATAAACCGCACACTTTCCTCTAGTTGCAGTTCACCTACACCTTTGCGCACTGTTTCTCCGTCTAGCTACATTTGCCCCTTACGTGTGGTTCGAGCGGGACGGTTGGAGGCGGCGGTGCTCCTGGAACTTTGGGACTTGCACCTGCCGGTTAACAAACTATAATGGCGGGTGGTAATATCAAGGTGGTTGTGAGGGTCCGGCCGTTCAACAGTAGAGGTACTTACTGCCTTCCTCCTCCTCAATAATACCGGTATGGGGTTGTGCCGGGTGCTCTGAGCTAACACTACTGTGTGGACGACCTGTCCCGTGTGGAATTTAGAGAAGGATCGCGGCGCAAAATGTATTGTTCAAATGAAAGACAGCCAGACGGTCCTGGTCCCGCCCCTTGGAGTAGAGAAGAGCGCGGGAAGTAAAGCCGCAAAAGATAGTGGACCTAAAGTTTTCAATTTCGACAGGAGTTATTGGAGTTTTTCAAAGAGCGATTCTAATTACGGTGTGTTGGCTTTGGTTATTCGATGGGTGTGAATGGGAACGTTCTGATGGATTTTATAGCGGGCCAGGAGAATCTGTTTGACGACCTCGGGAGACCATTGCTAGATAATGCCTTTGAAGGTTATAATAATTGCATTTTTGCTTACGGCCAGACTGGATCTGGGAAATCGTACTCTATGGTATTGTTCAGCTCTACCTTGTGCTTCTCTAGGAAACTTACGAGTGACATTTTGGGAGTGCAATACAGTTCAATGCTAACCATTCATGGATGGGTAGATGGGCTACGGTGAGGAATACGGCGTAATCCCGAAAATTTGCCAGCATATGTTTGAACGAATGTGAGTTACATCCCCGGTATATTGAAATGAAGGTCGTCCAGAGCTGATACTACTGTAGAACTGCCCAACAAGCGGACCCGAACCTGAAATGCACCGTCGAAGTGTCCTATCTAGAGATTTACAATGGTATAGTTGTGAGTGGTTCTTGTTCTGCCCATACATGTCTTCTGACTATTTGGATAGAGCGAGTTCGCGATCTCTTAAACCCAAGTACGAAAGGAAACCTAAAGGTTCGAGAACATCCTTCATTAGGCCCATACGTTGAAGACCTTGCGAAGCTCGTAGTGAGCTCCTTTAGTGAGATTGAGCATCTCATGGACGAGGGAAACAAAGCGAGAACAGTTGCCGCGACAAACATGAATGAGACATCATCACGTTCCCACGCTGTGTTTACTCTCATATTAAGTCAAAAACGGCATGACGTTGAGACGGGCTTTGATACCGAAAAAGTTTCCCGAATTAGTCTCGTTGACTTAGCTGGTTCTGAGAGAGCTACGTCTACTGGTGCCACTGGTGCTAGACTAAAGGAGGGAGCTGAAATCAACAGGTCCTTATCCACGCTCGGTCGTGTAATCGCAGCTCTGGCAGATCTATCCTCGGGGAAGAAGAAGAATGCAAACATGGTTCCTTATCGAGACTCCATTTTAACCTGGCTGCTCAAAGATTCTCTCGGTGGCAACAGTATGACAGCCATGATAGCAGCTATCTCACCGGCCGATATTAACTTCGATGAAACTCTTTCTACCCTTAGATATGCCGATTCAGCCAAGAGAATCAAGAATCATGCGGTGGTGAATGAGGATCCAAACGCCAGAATGATCCGAGAGCTCAAGGAAGAGCTACAACAATTGAGACAGAAACTATCTGGTGGCGGTTCGATGCCAGAAGAGAACTACGCCCCAGATACGCCTCTTGAAAAGCAAATTGTCACTATTACTACTTCTGATGGACAGGTGAAGAAGGTTTCGAAGGCCGAGATTGCAGAGCAACTGAATGCGTCTGAGAAGTTGCTAGGCGATTTGAATCAAACCTGGGAAGAGAGGCTGGAAAGGACGCAACAAATTCACAAAGAGCGTGAAGCAGCGCTGGAGGAGCTGGGAATTAGCATAGAAAAAGGATTTATTGGGCTCTCAACTCCAAAGAAGATTCCTCATCTCGTCAATCTCAGGTTGGTGATTTTCCTTATCCCCATTCGCAAATAGCTTACCTATACCAGTGACGACCCACTGTTGGCGGAATGTCTAGTCTACAATATCAAGTCAGGAACCACGTCAGTTGGAAACGTCGAGACCTCCCCTACTGCACAAATTCGTCTGAATGGTTCAAAGATCCTAACCGACCACTGCCGATTCGAAAACGAAAATGGTGCTGTGACATTGATCCCTAACCACAAAGCTGCTGTCATGGTCAACGGTTTGAGAATTGATGGCCCCAGAAGGCTACGGACAGGTTATCGAATTATCCTGGGCGATTTCCATATATTCAGATTCAACCACCCGCAAGAGGCCCGCGCAGAGCGAGACAAGCTACGACAGTCTGTAGCAATAAATTCTGATCATCGTCACTCATTAAGCAGCGGAATCACTATTGATGCGCTGGAGAGAGCTGAATCTGAGACGAACGGCAGCAGGCCGGATTCTCCAGCTATGGTTCCAGCAAACAGCCGTGACATTGATTGGTCATTTGCTCAGAGGGAAGCGGAAGAGATGAGGCACAGAAATATTCGCAGAGGGCGTCCCGATAGCCGTCTTGGTTCAATAGATGATGAAACCGAGTCTGTCATGTCTTTTCCGGGAATTCGAGAAAAATATGCCTCCATTGCTACTCTGGATGAGCTCTCACTCGATACGGCAATTACTATGCCGGCGACTCCTCAGCAGGGCGAAGCTGAGGAGAGACTGAGATTCATAAAAGACGAGATGCAAGCCCAATTGGAGAAACAGAAAGAAGAGTATCAACAAAGGCTCAAAGCAACTGAGGAAGCTCATGTTGAGATTGAAGAGATCAAAGCCGAGAAAATCAAAATGCAGAAAAGGCTTGAATTGGCTAAGAAAGAGATGCAAGAGAAACTGGAGATGCAGCGAAAGGAGTATGAAAGCCGACTCGAAGAGATATCACTTTCTCCTCCAAAGGCCAGAGATCCCGAGGATGGCCTAACAGATATGGAAAAGAAGCTGGCCAGATTCACATTTGATCATTGGCGTAAGCGAAGATATGTACGGATGGCAGAGTCAATACTACAGCACGCCGCAGTCCTAAAGGAGGCGCAGATAATGAGCAACGAAATGGAGAAATCGGTGGTATTCCAATTCACAATTGTGGACGAAGGCCATACATTCCAGTCTAGTTACGATTTAGTATTAAACGGAGTATCGGCTGAAGATGACGAATTTCTTGACATGGCACGAAAACCTTGTGTAGGTGTCCGTGTGATGGATTTCGAGACCAATGTTGTTCACCTTTGGTCTTTGGAAAAACTACAAAACCGTGTGGGCCAAATGAGACAAATTTATCAATACCTAGATAGGCCGGAGTATCTACAGGTAAGATCGCCTCCGGCTCCCTAGTACTACCTCTTTCTAAGACTCCTATAAAGCACCTTCGCCCTAGAGACCCATTCTCGGAGCCAACCCCCCAACAATACTCGTTGATCGGAGACGTTGATGTTCCCTTGACGGCAGTATTTGAGACTCGTTCCCAGGATTTTGTACTTGATGTCATATCACCCCATACGGCAAGTGTGGTTGGAATCATCAAACTTGCACTTGAACCTTCATCAGCGGAAGCGCCCTCGCCAACTCTCAAATTTAACGTTGTAGTGCGAGAGCTACAAGGCTTTGCCGAACGGGAGGGAACATCAGTCCATGCTCAAATGTTCATTCCCGGTATATCTGACGAGAGCGGCGCCACTACAACTAGCATGATAGCAGATTTTGATGAAGGTCCAGTGAAATTTGGAAGTACACATCCCATGAGTATGCCCCTCGGAGCTCCGCTGAGAAACACTACTCTTCGAGTAGCCATATTTTCAAAAATCACAAGCATGCATCTCGAGAAACTCATCAGTTGGGATGACATGCGAGATCACAAATCCGCATCACAGAAAAAACGAAATGCTCGACTAAACGAGACAGAGTTCTATACTGAGGAGAAGCATGACATTTTTGCCCGTGTCCAAATATTGGAACTATCTGAGTCTGGGGATTACCTTCCGGTCGAGGTTATCCAACAATCTGAAACCGATCCTGGGCTATTCCAGTTACGCCAGGGACTGCAACGTAGGGTCCAACTTAACCTTACGCATAATTCGGGTGATGCCTTCCAATGGAGCGAGATCACACAACTCCGAATCAGTCAAGTGCGGCTGCTGGACCCCCGAGGGAAAATACCTGATATGTCATCACCAACCCGCGAAATACAACTCAACACGGTTCTAGGACCTGTGGTTAAGAAGAATTCCGATGGCACCGGTACAATCGGTGTTGTTGCCCAATGGGATTCCAGTCTCCATAATTCCATATACCTTGATCGAACCACGGCAGACAAGTACCGTGTCCAAATGAATCTCCGGTGGAATGTGGTTTCTGACAAGCTATCAGAGCCAATCGCTTTCTCACAGGACGTTTTTTCGCAAGTGCAACCCAGAGTGCTTAAAAGCCCTAATAAATTCATGCAGCTGTGGAACAATAACAGAATTACGCATGCAAGTGTGGGACTTTTCCAGTTGGTCATTCGGCCAGCTGCAGCCCGTAGGGCGGGCGATCTCTGGAGAATGAATACTATGCACCGATATGTGAAGGGCGAAGAATATCTTGGCGAGTGGACACCTCGCGGTGTAAGCTTGGTGAGAGACTTTCTTAGAGCGAAGAGGAGGAGAATGAGGGCCGCTGAAGTTGAGAACGCCAAGGGGTTCTTAAGCTCTTTACCGGTCACCAGAAATGTAACCCCAAAGCCCGGGGCGGGGGAGCCCACAGCAGAAAGGTCTCGCGAGCGCCCCAGGGAGGCCCCGCCGCAGGAAAGCTCTTATGGCGAAGCCATAGAGCCCAGTGAGGGACGGGGCGAAGTTGACAGAGAGCCCAAGTTATCAGATGACACGAAGGTCACCAAAACCGTCCAAGAACCCCCGCCAACTAAAGACGTGCAAGATGCGGATAGAGCTCTAGAAGACCCGCCAGATTGGGCGCCAGAACACACGCCAGTAGAGATTCCAGCAGGAAGCTCCGAGGGGGATTCTGAGAGCAGAAGAGAGAGCTTCCAGGGGAGCCCAGAATGGAACTCGGCGGAAATGTCGGAAGGGACAGCAGCGAGGGAGTCGATTACGGGTGAAAACGTTGCCCTAAGAGAAGAGGATCCGCATATACACTTGCTGCGTAGATATGTGGACTTGTGGTCCTCGTGGAAAGATCCCAGCGAGGTAGGCAGCGGTGTTCGCGAACACGTTTGTAAAGGAAATATGCTAAGGGGAAACACCCACTCTAGAATATACTCGTACGACAGAACACGGAACCCCCACAGGATGCAGCTTGCTTTGCTGAGCCAACAGAAGCTGAACCTCCACGATTGATTGCCGAGGTCCGGCAGATCCCCAAAAGGTTTATTGATCCAAGTACAATTCAAAAATACACTCTCTAATGTGCTCCCCTCCTGTATAGTACCTCAGTGTTGAAGTCGGGTTATCTGTTTATGCCAGATGAATCCAACAAGGTATGGATCAAGAGGTACTTTGAACTGCGGCGACCCTATCTACACGTTCAATCGATCACAGACGGGGAAGAAATCACAGCCATTAATCTCACCCACTGCCACATCGACCATAACCCTCACGTTCGAAAACTCCTCAGAAAGCAGAACAATAATATATTCGCTGTGTACACGCCGCTCAATACCTATCTCTTCGGGGCAAAGAGCGAACGAGAGATGATTGAATGGATATTAAAGATAGATCAATCCCATTTCGACACCAGCACTAGTCGGAGCAACACGCCTGCCGACGAAGAGCGGAGAGTACCCTCGGGTTAGCGCCAACGAATGTCGTACTATATCATGAATCATGGGGAAGGCGATTTCAAGATACGGCAGAAATGAGTGCCTGTGTTTGTTTTTCTTCTTTCTTCAATAAGGGTATTCAAGGCTTAATTCCTATTTTCCCCTACTTCTTCGATCGAAGACCGACTACCCGTTTCTTGGTTTGTTTTTCGATAAAGCTTTATCATAGAGTTTGGCGTTTAATTATTTCCTCTCTCACCAGGGGGTTTCCTACGGGGGGGTGGGAACACGCAAAGGGTAAAGCCGTGTGGGCACCCATCGTAGAGATGGGAGGCCGGATGGGAAATCATGCTCATGTGCTCTCTGGCCAGGCCAGAAGCACCACGATGAATGATGAAAGCGGTTTCTTTTTTTTCTTTTTCCTTCCCTTTCTTTCCCTCCACATTTGCACTTGAAACGTTTTCCAATCAGTTTATTCATTAGAGTAATACCCCATACACTACCTTCTGATAGTGTCCGACTATCATGGTTACGATAGCTATGATGATAACTATTACTTGTACTGTACCCTTCTGGAGATCGCTACTGCAGCAGTTGCACTGTGGTGAAGATTACTACTCGGAGCCTAGCCCTGCGCCCGCCATACCGTAGGAGCTCGAATAATAGAACGGTGTGCCATGTAGTCGAGAATTCCCTACTTTGGAAAAAAAAACAAGCTGCTCAGCCCCTCGGAGAGACATAAAAGATAAAAAAATACCAAACCCCATCAGAGGAGGCAACTGCGACGACATAGCACACGGTTCTATTATTCGAGTTTCTACGGTATTACTATCGTGTGATGGAGGTCAGTGATAGGATAGATAATCCACCAGTATGATAGCCCACGATACCCTTGACGCTATCACATAGTCCCCGTACAGATGTTTCCTTCACTACAAAGCCTGACAGAGGATATAACACTACCTCCCAACTCTCCGTTCGTACCATGATAGTACAGTACATTACAGGTAAAGTAAAGAGCTAAAAAAGCACCAAGCTCTCTCCCTCCACCCCGTGAGAAATGTATTTTTGGCCCCCTTACTAACCTACCGGTAGCTATATAAAGGCAGGTTTGAGGCCGCATTCAACCTACAACGGCGAAACAGCTTTCAAATCCGCAAAGTTAGAAGGGGGGATGGTTTGATAATTAGAATTATTCCCAGTTTAGTAACTTGATATGCGGGCGGGGGCTTAGACACTTTTGTTATGGTCGATGATCCACACAACACCTCCCCCAAGCTCTCCTCTCAAACCACCACCCTTTTCCAAAAAAAAAATCTACCCTTTTCACACTACTATACGTACCGTACCATACCGCGACCGTGACCGTGCCGTATTATTCCCCCCCGTACACACGTACCGTGTCTTGCTAAAAGGAAGGGAAGGAAGGAAAGAGCTATCCGTTCTCCGCCCCCTCCCCCCCCCGCAAAGAAAAAAAAACATCTACAAAGCATCTTTCCTACTCTCAGTGATATTATCTTTGGCAACGTAAGACAAAATGTCCTTTAGACACATATTCAAAAAGGACGGTGGTGGAGCTAGTGGTAGTAGCAAGAAGGAAGGCGGGTCAACAACACCACCGCCACCACCACAGCAACAGCATCCCGAGTTCACCTTCATTCGCAGCGATACCGTAATGAACCCCCTTTCCCCTCCTTCTTCTTCTCTCTATGCCTTAATTACTAACATCTTATGACAGAATACACAGGACGTCCTGAACCTCCACGATCAGGACCCTACCCAGCAGCAGCAGCAAGACAAAGACCGCCTATCATTCGACCGTCCACACTCCTCCTCCGGACGCCCGAGATCTCCCTTATCCGGTAGCAAACTGATCTCTACTCTGTCCCCCCGTCGTAGATCCAATTCGTCGGCGCACGTGCCCGCGGACTTACCCAGCATCTCGAGCACCGGCGATAAAGAGCAGCAATGGGAGCTGCGGGCGGCGAAACTTGCTCAGGGCGGGCAACCGAGTCCCGGGATTATGCCTAGGGGGTATGGTGAGGAAGTGGTTGCCCATAACGATGTAAGCTTCCTTCCCCTTCCCCATTTTCCCTCTTATTATCGTTTTCGCTCCCTTCCTTCCTGGAGGAGGAGGAGGAAGAGGAAGAGGAAGAGGAGAGAGGGTTTTTGCGGTGATTTTTTGGTTGGTCGGTCGGTTTTTTCTTTTTTTTTCTTTTTGGGATTGGTTTTGGTTAATTGGTTGAATGCGGATGGTTGGTGGGTGGGGTACGATAGGATAATATTCAAGAGGCGATTCGATTACACGAGGCCGGAGGTATGTTTATGTTCAGTTTTATAATCCGTTTTTCCTCTCCTTTTCTTTTTCCTCGATTTTATACGAAAATTTGATGTACCTTTCCGTCCTATCACGAATATATGTCTTGCGCAATACCCGCATTGACATATGTTTGGTTGATCGAGCGGGGAAGATTACAATATCATGATCAAGATCAATTACGATGGATGGATAGATAGAAAGATAGATAGAATACAGTACAGTAAAGGCTAACTAACAAAACGAAAAACAGAACTAAAAAAGTCCACAGCAATCTTTGGACGTCTCGCAGACCCGAACGGTCCAAACAATCCACTATCTCAAGTTCTCTATGGACTCGCCCTCCGGTAAGTTAGCCCCCCCCCCCCCTACGCACCACAATTACAACCTAACATATATGTAAAAACATAGCCACGGCTGGGGCATAGAACCAGACCTTCCCCGCGCATTAACCTACCTCCAATCCGCCGCACGCAATTCCGCTGCTGTAGAAGAGCTAGCCCTGAAAGCCGGCATGACTAAGGGTGGGAGTGCAAAGGGCGAGCTCGTGCTTGCGATATTCGAGCTGGGGAATTGCTTCCGCCACGGCTGGGGCGTTCAAAAGGATCCCGTGGCGGCGCGGGAGTACTACGAGACGGCGGCGAACCTTGGGGACGCGGACGCCATGAACGAGGTCGCCTGGTGCTATTTGGAAGGGTTTGGGTGTCGGAAGGATAAGGTTCGTTCCACTCCACGTTCATCAATACACCATCCGCTTGATTGGATTTTTTCAAAAAAAAAAAAAAAAGAACAGGATGAGAAGAGGGGTGCAGTAGGAAGAAAGAAAGAAAGAAGAGGGGATGGACGGATGGAAAGAAGGGGGGTGTATTAGCCGTTATATCCTCTTCCCTCTTACATACATAGATACATACACAAACACCGTTTCTGCCTGCTTTCCCGTTCACCATTTCCCTCCCTCTTCCTTTTCTGCCCTCTAGCATGGCAGCTACATATGCCATGCCATGTCCATGCCATGCTCATGCCATGCACCGCAACTCCCCCTCTCTTTCACCCCCAAAAACGCAGGTCACAGCTAACCACTCCAACCAACCACTAGATGAAATCCGCAATGTTCTATCGTCTGGCGGAAAAACAGGGCAATAAGATTCTCGGAAACACATGGTTCGTTTTACTCCCTCCTCCTCCCCAAACGCTCCGATCGATCCCCGAAGGGAGATGGAGGGGGGGTTTTTTTTTTCGTTCCCCTTTTCTTAGCTTAGATTACCGTTTTTCCATTGGGAGGAAGAAAGGGAGGAAGGGCTAACGGCGATACACGGCGAATAGGATATACAAGGACAAGTACATGACTGGTAATTGATGGATCGGATGGATGATGGATGGATGGATGGATGGATGGGAAATTCGGGTTTTAGTCTTGTAGAAGGTTTTTCGATTTCCGATTTCCGATTCTCGTTTTTCTCGATTTTTTTTCAAATACCCCCTCCCTCCCCGATTCGGAAAAGTCAAATATACAATATGATACAAGTCGAAGTCGATTCACCAACAGTGTCACAAGTATCATACAAACACTAGTCTATCATACCAATACAACACCAATAAAAGCACTATCGTACCTACCTACCTACAGGGTATATATATATATATAAAATATATCATACCATAATAAAAATTAAAAAAAAAAAAAAACAAGAGAGAGACCATCAACCCCCCAACCGATACCAGTCCCACTTGCCTACGGTATACTCGTACAAGCACAATACAACAAAACGGAAGAAGAAAAAATTAAAAATTAAAAAAAAACTTAGCCATACTTTTACAGGAACCATACGGGGAAATAAAACAAAATAAAACAAAATAAAATAAAATAAAATAAATAAGAAAGGTACGATAGGGTATCATACCAGGATCCACACCCCTACGTACAATAGTGAGTGAGTGAGGTTCAAATCAAGCACGATATTAATAGCATAGTCTAGCTTAGTACCGTTACCGGTATTCCAACCCGAAGGAGTACGAGTACGGTACAGTACGGTACGAGTGGGTACTGTGCTCGTAGACTACCAGGTACTCGTATGATACCAAGTCAGTTAGTGTGCTTATATATGATAGTACGGGGTACTGTACTCGTACGGTGCCGTACCGGTACGAGTACTCGAGTACAGTGCTTGAAAGGGTTCATGATACATGGATGGATGGATGGATGGAATCCATTAACCGTAACGGGCAGGGATATATTTGGCATCGGGTTGACTGTTCCATGACTTCTTGCAGGATCCCTTGTGTCAGAAATTTCGTGCTGTGTTGCGGTACATACCGGTATTCGAGCCCCAAAATATCATACCGGTATGATACAAGTACAAGCGATGATTAGCACCCCCCCCCCCGCCTCAATGTATAATAATATTATGATAACTTTCATTCACTTCAGCCCTACAAAATACTATACAAGACTACAGTACTCGTACAAGCAGTCCACCCTAGCCTACCGCGCCCGCCCTATGATACTGTACCCTTGCCCATCTTTCAGCTCGATTCTTACCCCCTTCTCCCCTCCACGGCGCTGTCCCACAGCCAATCAAGTCGCTTCACTCGCACACTCACTCTCACACATCAAACCCAAAATTCAGTAGAAAACAAATGATTATTATCTCTACCCCACTACAGCTAGCTTAAACAAACCACTTCCTCTCCCCCCGCTCTCATCTCCCCCCAACCCCAACCAAATATGTACCGTAATGGAAAAGAAAAAAAGGAAAGGGAAAAAAAGGAAAAAGGAAAAACCGGACCAGTGATTTTTGTTACTCAAACTCCACACAACCCTACCCTTACCACATTAGACGAATAAAAACCAGAGCAACTCAGCAGCGAAAAGGCAAGGAAAAATTGTGTTCAAGTTAAAAAACAAGGATGGAGCGAAATGAGAAAAAAAAATCGCCTTAGTCGTAACGTCGTCGAGCTTCGTAACGTCGTAGCTTCGTAACGGCGTAGACATCGTAACTTCGTTACCTTCGTAATCGGAAGAAAAAAATAAAAGCAAGGCAAAAAAACAAACAAGGCAAAACAAGGCAAAACTCAAAAGGCAGGCAGAAGGAGGAGAAAAAAAAACCACCATTTCCAAACCCAATGTGCCCTAGACGAATTTACAGGGGAATGGAATGAGAAGGAAAAAAGAAAAAAAAATTCAACAAACCGCTGTGAGCAAAAAACAGGAAAGCAGAAAAACTCTCAAAAAGGCCGCCGTAAACCGCAAAGGAGACGGAGACAAACCTGGGGAACCCGCCACAGGTATATATCCTTATCAAGAGATGAAAAAAAAAATATACCGTGGAGAATGTATGTGAGGAACGAGTTTTTGAACAAAAAAGAAAACCAAGAAAGCTCAAACGAAGAAATAGGAACCAAGAGGGAATATAAAAAAAATCAACGCAAAGCTAAGAATCAAAAGGCCAATTTCAAAAAAAAAAATGAAAAAAAAAATGAAAAGAGAGATGAAAAACCGCTATGCCAACCCAAAAATACCTCTCAAAGCCGCCCAAATGATTCGATCAGAAACCACCACCGTTTTTTCATCTTACTATCTTCACATACAAACACGTCACACGAAGCCACCCAATGTGGAATAAAAAATAGAGGGGACGACAAATAAGAGCACACCACATATCACGATCAATAAAAGCTGCTTCAAGACAAAAGAAAAGTATTGCAGAGGGTGTAACGTCGGCGGCCCATCCGGCCGGTAACATCTGCGCACAGAGAACCGGGGAAGGATATAAAGCACAGGATATAAAACAAATGAAATGTCACGCATGTGGGTGAAGACCCGGTCGATCAGCTGTCAGTCCGTATAGACCACGGAGGGACGGTGATGGGGAAAAGTGGGATTTCATGAATCCAGTCCCTTATAGAAATATAGGGAAGCATGAACGCAAGGAAAGCGACGATGGCGTCAAGTGCGTTTGTGTGGGTGTCTCAAAGTCTCCATATTTTTTGTTGGTCGGAATGAAAAAAGGGGGTAAAGGAAACAAGTTTATACGGCGCTATCGCCATAGCCACTGGGCTCACAGTCGTTGGAGGAAGCTTGTCGAGCCTGTTGAGCCTGGGCACGCTGGGCAAAAGCAGCAAAGCGACGGACAACTTCGGCATCAACCTTATCCCAAAGAAGCGAACGAGTGTAGACATCAGCAGCAGTAGGCTTGTTTCGCATGGAGGCAAGGCCTTCGTCCAAATGACGTCGGTTTCGGGCAACTGGTTCGGGATCGCGGAGAAAGTTGTTGGAGGTGACATCGTTGTACTCAGCAGCCGTCAACTGCATGAATGAGTCGTGTTGCTGTTCAGACGAAGGTTTGTCCAATTGAGCATTCAACATTGCCAAAGAAGAGTCAAGTCCAACCATCTGGGGTACCGATGACTTCGCAACTATCCATGTGTCGGAGGTGGAAGAAACATCGGCAGACTCAACACGGCCGGCTTCTATCGGAGTGACACCGGCATCCTGGAAGATGTTGTTCAAAACATCCGCCGAGGCAGACTGCAGCTGCTTAGGAAGCGGTGGAAGTGAGGGAACAGAGGTCTTGGAAGAGGCAACGAATGCACCACACAAGAGAAGCTACAAAAATATTAGCACAACATCAAATGCACAAACATGCGACATGAACTCACAATAAGCAACAGACCGGGAGCGGCGGCTGGCTTCTCGGCATCGCGTGGCTGGATCTTCTCGGACTTGATTGGAGCAATGTCGGAAGACTGGATGGACATGGGGTCATTGTTCCAGTAGTCTGTGTCGAGATCGAAGTCAGAGTCGAGGTTGAAGTTGTCGCTGAATCCGGATGAGCTAGGGGCATGAGCCATGGGAGCACGGTCAAGAGCCTCCTGCATCTTCTGGACTTGACCCTCGAGGTAAGTGTTCTTCTTGCGAAGATCACGGGTCTCGATGGTGTGGTCGCGAACAATATCCTCCTTCTCCATCTGAACTGTCTCAACCTTGTGGGCAAGGAATTCACGCTCCCGCATCAGGGTCTCCATTCGCTGATGCATCTGCTCCTCCTGCATCGACATGGCATTGAGCTTGTCCTCAAGGTCCTGGATAACAGCACTGTGGAGCTTCTTCTCCTCCTCCAAACGCTCAGTGTGCTGCTTCTTTCGTTGCCGTGAGTCGAGACTAAATTCACTGTCAGCCCTGCAACAAACAAATTTCCAATCCCGGTTAAACCGAAATCGGGGAGGTGGCTAAACATACGCAGCCTGTCGGTTCCTGAGTAACCGCTTTTGTTGCTTCAACTCCTTGATCTCATTATCATCCTGAGAGCGGGCAATCAACTGGTCAATATTCATCAAAGTCCTCTCGGCCGGGATATCGAAGCGAGCATTCTTCTTTCGGATCCCATCTCGTCGCATAACATGTAGCGGGGAGTGAGCACGGGGAGCGGGGCTCTGAGGCCTCATCCTCTTCTGCATGGGCTGCGAATCGTGACCCTCAGCACTGGAAGCCTGTGCCCAATCCTTCTGAGCCGGGGTGGAAGGAATGGAAGAGACTGCACCAGCACCCTGGAATACTGTGGCATGAGGGGTGATGTGAATGTCACTGCCAAAGGCGCCAGCCGGGCCAGCACCCCCGAGAGTGGGAGCCAGATATGCCGAGCCATCTTCGAAGGCTGTGTTGGGGAAGGCGTTGTTGTCGTACACGGTAGGAGTGCACGAACCCGATGCGCCATGATTAGACGACCACGAGCCGTTCTGCTGGGCAAACGCGGGCTGAGCCTGCTCAAGTTTAATGAACGGGTTGTTTGTTCCGTTGCTGTGCTCGAAGGTTGCCGCCGGCACGGGCGAGTTATCGTCTGCTGGACCCGCAGACAGACCCATATCATGATCTTCAAAATCCCAGTCGTTTGACGGGGAAAAGATGGCATTAGTTTCAAGGAGAGAGGGTCGTCGTCGGTCGATGGGGGACATATCGAGGGCAGAGTCGAGGAGGTTGTTGTTGCTGTCGAGTATGGTATCGTCCAGTATTGACGACTCGTCATCGTCTAACCACTGCTGCTGCTGCTGCCGCCGTGTATCAAGGGAGAGGCTACCCGGTTGAATGTAGTGATCCATGCTGTAGGGGTATGTCGAGGCCATTATCGTTCCGCCTGTGTATTTATGCTGGAAGGAGGGGAGGGGGCAAGTATGGAGACACGATTGTGTGGGGTAGGGTAAGGTTATGGGAGAAATCTAGAAAAGGTAAACAACGGTAAATACGGGTACAGCACTCCGTTTAAAATGGGTAACGACGAGTTTGTTGGAGGTTTATGGGGGGAAAGAGGAAGAAAAGATGTCGGAATATAATCTCGTTGGGGGACGACAGTCTATAACGACAAATGGGTCGACCTTAATTCACGTTTGTTCAACTATCTGGGAAGGGAAAACGAGCAAGAGAAAAGCCGCGTTCTGGCTTCCAATGTGCCGCTATATAGGAGCTCTCTGCTCTACTGACAAGACCAAATGGGAAGGGGTCGAAGGAAAATGGGTAGGGAATGGGGGGGGGGATGGGAGACTAGTGTGGGTGGCACAGAATTTCTGGTACATCTGCAGCCAGCAGCAGCAGGACCGGGGGGGGGTGTGAGAGGGGAGAGCCGAATGGTATTGAGTTTCCAACGAACAAGAGGTAAGCCCGCAACAATAGTGTGGGAATGTGAAAAGGGTAGTCTAACTGGGGCTGGCCTGCCCCCAACCGTTTATGATACCCAATCCGTTCTCGCAGCCAGTGACAACGAATCAAACAGGGTCGGTCATGCAAGTCGAGGTCCATCAACCTCACAATCCTTTCTCGCCCGACATTTTGGGCCACCGGATAGGCAAACCCCGCGGTGAAGGGAGGGGCGGACGCCCTCCCTCTCGCCCTTTTCCCCCCTCCTCCCTCACTCGCACCTCAGAAATGGCTTTGAGTAGTTCTGAGAATAGAACCTCCGCCCGTGAAGGAGCTGAGCGTGAGCGAGTGAGCCAGCGAGGAAAGAGGTGATAGCCCCTCCTCTCCCCCCCCCCCCCACCTCAACTCACAGAATCTTATCCACTTACATCAAGTACCCACCCCCCTTGTAACTTGGAGACTACAGACAGTCCCAATCCGCCGCTTTGACTGGTTATCACCCAATTCTTCCCAATACCCCCCCCCCTCCCTCGTCCGTTAGTTGAAGGCAAATAATCGCGACGGGGCTGGGTCGATTGGTTGCGCACAGAGTAATGGGTAAAAATCCAACATATTCTTGGTGCCGCTCACGAGAGACAGACATGGAGAACCAGAGGCTAGGTATGCTCAATCGAGTACCCTCATACGAAGCAGGAAGCAGAGCATTCGTACCCGCTTGCGTCCTTGTTGCCTTCGGCAGGTCCACAGCCCCTTCCCTGGTCCCAAGTCCCAGTCCGTGGTCCACCATCTCACTCACATCCTGGAGTTGACTCGGATAAGAAAAAAGAAAGGAAAAGGAAAAAAGAAAAAGAAAGCAGCAATGACCCCACTTCAAAGCAGCGAGTAGGAAGGAAGGAGTGGTTCTCGAGAGAGTGAGTGAAAGAAAAAAAAAAGGACTCCCTCGTTTTTCTCTCCCTCTCCCTTCTCTCTCTCTCTCTCTCTTCACTCGTGCGGTACAATACAGCTAGTACCTTGTGTTTATCGCTCCGGGTTGCTATCGTAAGCGTCCCGCCAAATGCTGTAAGTACTGTACCCCAAAAGGAAACATAACTCTCCGTGATCCCGTCCACTCAGAGCCTCATCCTTCCTGTGGACGAACGAGAGTTTCCATCGCTCTTCACACCTCGTGAGCCTCTCTCCCCACCGTGCCGAGAAAAATGAAACATAACTTTTCTAAATAAAAAATAAAATGAAAAAATAAAAATAAAAAAAATAAAAACCTCCTCCCACCGTACGAGTATGATTTCTCCAAAACCAGTCGCCGTAGCCGTAGCTTCCCCGCTGATCAAGCCTATGAACCTACGAGCAGCCTAACTCCGCCATCATCTTGGGAGAATAATCGGAAAAAACATGTTGCCCTTGCTCCAACAATTATTTGTTATTCCTTGCTTTGTTTTTTTTCTTACTATTTCACCTTCGATTATGACGAAGGCTGCCCATTTGCTCTGACAGCTCACCCCATACCGTACAAGGTCTCTCCATGCTCTTGTCTCTCTTTGCGCACTCTCGGTCACTTGCGGCTGCCTTGATCTTTCATTTTTCTTCCTCAAGGGAACGAGCAGCATGGTACCGCACTCGGGAGGAGAGAGAAAAATAAATAAAAAAGTGAAGAAGAAAAAATTTCGTTCCTAGACCTCCCCTCTCATTCATCCAGTCACTCCCCCGGTTCACCATCAAGAATCATTGCACGCGTCTCCTCGACAGCAGCGCCAGGGCAGGCAGGCAAGCAGCAGTAAAGTAAAAGTAACCTTGCCCCCGCTCCCTTGGACGCCAGGGAACCAAAGGGCAAAAAAAAAAAAAAAAAAAAAAAAAAAAGTAAAAAAGTAAAAGGATGCGGCCGTGGCGCAAACAGGGGGAGGGAATATCCCGACCAATTCCCGGGCTGGACAAAAAAGAAAAAGAAAGAGAAAGGGAAAGGGCTTCTTTGGACACCGTACAAGTACTAGTCCTCGTACGGTACTTGTAGATTATGGTAGGAATGAAGTTTTGCACTAAAAAGAAAAGAATAAGCGCAGTTCTGGTACGGTAGCGTACTTGTACCGTACATCGCCCCGATGACAGGAAAAGGAAGAGCAACCATGCTCGTTCCTGCAAAACATGTACCCTCACCGGTAGTCTCCCTGCAAATGGAGAATCGGGCCTACGGTAGTGAAACCGGCATGGCAATGATAATAATAACCGCCATTATCTGAACGAATGACGAGAAAAGAAGTGAAGGGGAAAGTAAATCACAAACGCCGCATTGTAGTAAGGTACAAAAATAACGACGAAAAATGAGGGAGACATGAGGTAATTGGGCATGTACCAGTAACAATTCTCGCTGGCGGCCACCGATTGACAGGAGGGAGACACACGAGGGGCCGGGTTCGAGACGGAGGTACTGTACATAGTACATAGGGCATTGTGATGGTTGAGTTTTTAGAGCAGCGTCAAGTCAAACTGCCGCGGGGGGTGGAAGAAAAGAAAAGAAAGGCTGAAGGGAGTAAGGTTCGCAGAGCGAGATCTCCATCCAACCACGATCTCGCGGTAGAAGGGGTACCGGTACCAACGGATACGGTGCAAACGTTCTGGGCTCCATCCTACCGTGCCCGTTCCACCCTGCCCGACACAAACAAACAAGAACAATGTCAAACATGGGCAGTTACATCAACCGTAGCGACTAGAAGGTCACCGCTATTGGGCGGAGATACACATAATGAGGGAGGGGAAGCGGAGGCGCGGGTAGATGAGTTTTTAAAAACGGGCAAGAAACGAATGGGGAAGGGGTTTCGGGGGCACCCAGAGGAGGGGCGGTGGGGAACCGCGTGTTGGATGGGGTGTTGGGAGAAGATGTTTTTCCCGAGCCAAAAAAACAAAAAGGCTCGCCGAAAAGGGAAAAAAAAGGAAAAAGGTAGGAAAAGTCCAAGGAAGAGGAAAGGAAAGGGGAAAAAAGCAAGCAGAAAAAGGTTACCGTATCATACCGGTCTAATATCACGTACAAGTATCACGCTCTTGCCTATCCTGCCGGTACCGGTACTCGAGCCCAGAGGGGGCTCCCAACGACGCAACTCGTGCCCAATAAGCGAGAAAGCGATCCACGCGCGTGAGCAGATCGCGGAGGAGCTGGGTAAAAAAAGATAAAACACCAACCTATTCTCCTATCATCGATCCGAATGGACCATTTCGAGGGAGGGAGAAGAAAAAGAAAAAAGTTTCTCTTTTCATCCTATCAATCCAATCCAATCCAATCCCTTCACCTCTCGACCAACGACAGGATACCAGACCGAGGGCGGGGCTTGATGGCAAACGCTTCGTACCGTACCGTCGCACTCACCTTCTTGCGGGGGAGCGAAGGATGGGGGATGGGGAAGGGACTGGGCAGGAAGCCTCCAGGCGAGAAAAGCGTTCCTACCTCCTCGCAGTTCGCTCGTTCGTCGAGACCATCCGCCGCCGTCGTCGTCGTCGTCCTCTTTTGCCCGCAAGACATGTCTTGGACACACCCCCAGAAGCACAGGAAAAGCCCGAGAGGAAAGGAGAGAAAGGGGATAGACTAATCCACCTCAGCCTCAACACCGCGGGCACCGAACGGAAGAGATGCACCGAAAGGCGAAGCGAGGGAATCCCGCCCTCATCGCGAAAAAGGAAAAAGGGAAGCAGAGGCAGAAGGCCCACAGGACCGAAAAAGGAATTCGCCCCAACGCGGATCAAGAAGGAAGGGCCATCACTACGAGTACGAGTAAGTTGCCGCAGACCTTAGCCCCGCTGGATTACGCTACCGCAGCCAGTCGGTAGAGGGCAGTCTGATGCCGGCACTCGTCCACTTTCCGAAGATGAGTGCTGGAGTCGACTGGACCAAACCCCCAATAAAATGGCGGGTTCGAACTTCTCCAAATGGCCTTCCCGCCTGCATAGGCTTCCCATCTTCCCCCATCCTGTACGGTACGGTACTTGCGCTGTAGCCTGTAAGCTTTCTCCGACCCCGCCTTCCTTCCTGCCTCACCTTCCCCCCCC